AATAAAAAGGTAATCACAAAATTTGCAGGAAAATGAATGGACCTAGGAGGTATACTATTAATAGTGGTCAAATGTCCTAGAAAGAAAAATACAGCAATTGCCTCCTCATTTGCAGATTGTAGCCAATAACATATGTACATGTGTAAACAAATATTCTTGCAGGAACAGTACACAGAAAAAAAAAACAGTAACTTTTAAACACTTTTAAAATAATTTAGACAATTCACTAAAACAACCTGAAGCCTACTATGAATTTAAACTTTAAATATTTATTTAGTTTTTTTTAAAAACCATTTTCAGTTATCACAACAAGCCACTCACTTGTCGTTCCTTAGGGACCAGCCTTGAAAACACAAGGCAGCTTTAAGAAAAGATAAATACTTCTCTTTAATGGAGCATAAAGACTCAAGTGTTTTGCAGTCATGTTTTTCCTTTGTGTTTGTGCATGATTATGAATTTTACAAACATCCCATGAGACTAAAAAGCATTCTGTTTGAGAGTTCCACTTGGTCATTGTTCTAACACAAATGCACTAGAAAATACAGCGGAGATGAATCACACCCATTCCAATAATCCGGGGTACCAGAGTAACTGAGAGTGACTCCTGGAACTTCTTATTTGAATTTTTGTGTTATGAGCTATAACAATAATTGTCATATTATAATCATGATTGCTTTGCTACACAACACAAATAAGCATTATTTATCTGTTTGAGACACACTCAACAACTAGGCTGGTGCTTTCCCTCAGCCTATGATTGTAATTTATATTCAATTCAACCTCAATAAAATGTTATAGTTTATTTGATTTCTTCATGACCCCTATCAAAAAAATGTCTTCTGAATACATAAACCTCTAAACTCATGTCTGGTCTTCAGTGCTAAAAATTGAGATCAAAGAACATGAAAGAACTTCAAATATCTGCACCAAATTTTAGCAGCAGGAAATATAACACAGAAAACTGTATCACCAAAGAGGTAGGACTTCGAGAATTTGTGATGCAGAGTGATCTTAAGGGTACATTCTTTTTTAAAAAACTGTTTCCAATAAGTAAAGCAACCATAAATACCTGAGTTGTTGTCTCATTGAAGTGTTACTCAGAATATCTTACATGCTTTTATGTTAATACGATTTTTGTTATGCACAGCAAAATGGGTTTTTAATACTTTTATAGTCATCCAATTGTCTTAAAATTTCAGTTGATCAGGCTAGACTAGTGAGGAAGTTACAGAGTATTTGCATGACTTAATTACATTTATTAACTCCCTAAAAATAATTGAGGGACTAAAATACTCAAAGTAGTGTGTGTATGTGTGTGTGCATATATACTATTATTTGAGTTAGTTTGCCAGTATTGATATAATTATGTTTAACATTCAGATAGTATTACCATTCTTTAGAATATCGAAGGAAATATAGATATGTGGTTTAAATTTCATTTTTTTAGCTAATTACTATATCTTTTTCTAAAAAGTTTCTCTTTAGAGTGTAGAAATCTGCTTATGATGTTCCCTGGGGAGTTGGAGAAATGGCCCATGGATGAAGTGCTTGTAGAAGCATAGGAACCAAAGTTTATACCCCTGGCACCAGAGCTCATACCCTTAGCACCCAAGTTCTTTATGGGGATGTGGTCCTGTTGTCCCAGTACATTCTGACCAGCATGTCTAGCTGAAATGCTGAGTTTCCAGTTCAGTGAGAGGCTCTGTCTCAAAAGTGCTGAAGAGAGTGATTGAGGATTAACCTCTGGCTCACACATACCTGCATTGTTAGCCATACCTGCATACACACTTGTACATAGAGTTCACATGAAAAAAAATGTTTTCTACAGAAGGAACACGTGTAACATGCAGTAAGTTAATTATGAAATAAGAAATACTTTAGACCTTCATACTGACACTCCTATTTGTCTGGATTATTCTATTTGATAAAATTGCAATGGTAACAATAACATCTGTCAGTAAATCCTAACCGCTTGCTTTATGTTGTCTAGACATCTAAGTCTTGGAACATATTTAGGAGATAGTTATTATAGTGCCCTACTTTATACATGTGAACATCCAATCTTTCTTCCAGGTCATACAGAGCTAGAATAAACAGTAAATTCAAACTGATATTTGCTTGAACTGCTCTGACTTTCCACTGTAAAACACTTGATTGGAATTCAGGAAAGAAACAGTGCTGTGGTCATCAGAAAAATACACACAATTTTGCAGGGGTTGGGAAGAGTAGAGACAGAGGGTCAGAGTCGCCCGTTCCCACAGTACTAAAAGTGACATTTACAAATGTTTGATCAGTGAATTAAAATACACAGATGGCTTCAACACAATCCCTGCAATCTTCCTGGCCCTAGTATGAGTGCCATTATAAGACTGGAAATCAACAGACTGCAGGTTGGGGGAAGCAGGTGAACAGCAAGAACTGAAAGCAGTGCACAGAAAAGTCAATGACCAACTTCTACTAAAGAATGAACACCCAGGCAGGCACTCAGTGATCGATAGTCTCAACAGCCTCAAAATATGTAAAATGCACTAATAATTTGTTCTTACAAATTACCACCAACCGACCAAAACAGGCTCAAGAAAGTGAATCTCAATTCAAATGGACAAGGATATTAAAAAAGTTTAATATAAGAAACACACATTTACATAGCCAATTATTATATTTTAATGAAATATATTAAAATACTGAGGAAGTTCAGTAAAATAATTGGTATCATTCACAAAGTTGTTAAGATGTAAACGGATGCAGCAGGAGCTGAAGGAAATTTGGTCCAAAATTAAAATTCATCTAAGGACTTTATAACGTCTTTAATCTGTTAAGCAATTTGCTTCTACAACTTGTCTTTTTAAAGACCTTGTCTTGTGACTATTAAGCCAGCCTTGAACTTGCTGTGTTGTCCCATTAGCTTCTGATCATCCTGCCTCTCCCTCTGAAATGCTGGGAGTACAGACATAGACAATCCCCTGCACTCAGGTTACAAGGGGTCAATAGGACCAGCGAGGGTTTTGTACACATCAGGTAAGCACCTACAGATTAAGCTACATCCTCAAGCCTTTGCTTTTATAAATATTACTAAAAAATTCATAAATGCACAAAAAATTTTTGGCTATAATGATATTTGGTATATCTTAGTATCCCATGAGGGGAAAATATAAAATAGCTAGAGTTCCATATTACTTAAAATAAATGCAACACATCACTTGAGACATAATTTAATAAAAAATAT